GTTGGGGTGGAGAAAGAGGAAAACAGGAGAGCCCTTCCAGGCCTGGCAGTTCTGAGAACACACTCTGTGAGGTCTGGGGCAAGTTCCTCCAGGGCTCTAGGCCATGGGGACCCTATAGGATTGATGATCATAATTATTGTTGCTGCCTTTCACTGATGCCAGGCCCTGTGGCATTTCACTTGCTCCACCCTGTGTGTTGGGCACTATTCTAACCTTCATGCTGTGGATGAGGAAACAGGCAGAGAACAATCACGAGGAGTATTTGCTGAGGCAGGGCTGTCCTCTAGACCCAGGTCTGTCTGACTCCCTAATCCTCTCAGGCTCTGCTTCTTGGAGGAAGGGCAATTGCGGGTACAGTATATGGTTTAATTCACATCAGGGTGCCGAGTGAATGTGCAAAGTTAAAGCTTACTGCCGTTGTGTCTGTGCCCTCATTCAGTTATGGTATTTGGGAGTAGACAGAATTAAAGACTGATTTACTTCTTACCAAGAAACACGATTACCTAGTACAACTTCAGTCAACAGAAACGTGCTTGACACCCATTTCTCGTTTAACTATCGCTGACATCTCTCTTGTGTACACACACACCCAATAACCAGAAAGCACCTAGAATCCACAGAGGGTTTTACATTCCCGGGGCGGCCTCAGGCTATGGGCACGTGGATCTAAGGAAGGGACCCAGAGCCAGGATTGCTCTTTTCTTTGGTCCGTAGCTGCTGGCCCTGAGTTTCACTGACCCCCCACTAGCCAAGGCCCCGGCTCACTAATGCACACAATGGAATGATACACGTGCTTGTTTGAAAGCTCCATTTCCCATCGGTGGGGCGTGTGGAAATAACACTGATCTGGAAGCAGGAGATGGGTTCCAGTCCCAAGTTACTAATCACGAACTTGTGAGATCTCTGGCACATCCCTGCTTCTCTGGTCCTCGGTGGCTTCATCCCTACAAGTAAAAGGCTGGGTTTGATCCTTCCTAACCGCTCTTTAAAAGGTCTGGCATTTTGAGTTCTATGTCTTGCTAGCTGGCAAGACTCCATAACACAATGCCTAGGAGTGTTACGAGTTTAAGAGCCTGGATCTTCCTGCTCCAGTTACCTGTTGCTGTATATGACCTCGTCCAAGTCATTTAACAGCTCCAAGCCCCAGTTTTATCTGAGAAATGGGGATGATAATGGTCCTGACCTCAGAGCATGGCTGGGAGACACAGTATGTGAAAGTGCAGGCCTAGTGCACAGCAAATACTCCCACAAATGTTACCTTGATGTTTTTAATATGCAGCCTTCACTCTTCTTTAGGCACTTGATTTAGAGTTCAATCAGTCATGGGAGGGTTTGGGAGTATGAAATTTTTGGTTAGAAATATAAGATTTTTTTAAATTTATTTTTTTATTGTTGACAGTATTACAGATGTCCCCCATTACCCCTTCCACTTGAGCCACATATATGTTCTTTGGTTAATCTCTTTCTGTCCCCACCACCCCCTCTCCCCTCTGAGATCTGTCAGTCTGCTCCATGTTTCCATGCCTCTGAACCTATTTTGTTCATCAGTTTATTTTGTTCATTAGATTCCACATTTAAGTGAGATCATGTGATATTTGTCTTTCTCAGACTGGCTTATTTCACTTAGCATAATAATCTCCAGGTCCATCCATGCTATTGCAAAGGGTAAGAGAGCCTTCTTTTTTTTTTTTTTCTTTAAATATATTTTATTGATTTTTTTACAGAGAGGAAGGGAGAGGAATAGAGAGTTAGAAACATCAATGAGAGAGAAACATCGATCAGCTGCCTCCTGCACACCCCCTACTGGGGATGTGCCCACAACCAAGGTACATGCCCTTGACCAGAATCAAACCTGGGACCCTTCAGTCCCCAGGCTGATGCTCAATCCACTGAGCCAAACCGGTTAGGGCGAGATCCTTCTTTTTTACAGCTGCATAATATTCCACGATGGAAATGTCCCACTTCTTTTTTTATCCACTCATCTACGGATGGACACTTGGACTGTTTCCAGATCTTAGCTATTGTAAATAATGCTGCTATGAACATAGGAATGCATATAATCTTTCTGGTTGGTGTTTTGGGATTCTTAGGATATATTCCCAGAAGTGGGATTGCTGGGTCAAATGACAGTTCCATTTTCAATTTTTTGAGGCAACTCCATACTGTTTTCCATATTGGCTGCACCACCCTGCATTCCCACCAGCAGTGTACTAGGGTTCCCTTTTCTCTACATCCTCACCAGCACCTGTCATTGGTTGATTTGTTGATGGTAGCCATTGTTGAGGTGATTAAAACCTCATTGTAGTTTTAATTTGCATCTCTCTGCTGATTAGTGATGTTGAGCATTTTTTTCATGTCTGTTGGCCATCTGTATGTCCTCTTTGGAGAAGTGTCTATTTAAGTCCTTTGCCCATTTTTTAAAATTGGATTGTTTGTGTTCCTGGTGTTAAGTTCTATAAGTTCTTTATGTATTTTGGAAATCAATGCCTTATCAGATGTATCATTGGCAAATATGTTCTCCCACACATGGGTTATTTTCATTTCGATGATGGTTTCTTGTGCTGTGCAGCTTTTTAGTTTGATGTAGTCCCATTTAATTATTTTTTCCTTTGTTTCTCTTGCCCTAGATGTATCAGTGAAAATACTGCTATGTGAGTTGTCTGAGATTTTACTGCCTATGTTTTCTTTAGAATTTTTATGGTTTTGCAACTTATATTTGTCTTTTATCCATTATGAATTTATTCTTGTGTGTGGTGTAAGTTGGTGGTCCAGTTCCTTTTTTTTTTTCATGTACCCATCCAATTTCCCAACACCATTTATTTTATTTTTTAAAAATGTTTTAATGTTTCATTATTGAAATTTTCAAACATGGATAAATATAGAGAGAATAGTATAAAGCAGCGCTATTCCAATTGCTGTTTATTTATTTCTTAAAATATGTTTTTATTGATTTCAGAGAGGAAGGGAGGGGGAGAGAGAGAAACATCAATGATGAGAGAAAATCATTGATCGGCTGCCTTCTGCACGCCCCACAATGGGGATCGAGCCTGCAACCTGGGCATGTGCCCTGACCAGGAATCAAACCGTGACCTCCTGGTTCATAGGTCAGTGCTCAACCACTGAGCCACACCGGCTGGGTCCAACACCATTTATTGAAGAGACTGTCTCTACTCCATTGTATGCTCTTGCCTCCTTTGTCAAATATTAATTGACCGTAATGACGTGGGTTGATTTATGGGGTCTCCGTTCTGTTCCATTGATGTATATGACTGTTCTTATGCCAGTACCAGGCTGTTTTGATTACAATGGCTTTGTAGTATAGTTTGATATACAATGGCTTTGTAGTATAGTTTGACCCTCCAACTTTTTTCTTCTTTGGGGTATGTTTTTTATTTTCCTCAAATGTGGATTTAGGTCTGACTTTGGAACAGCTTTGGTGGAGGAGGGGAGGGAGTGGCAGAAAGGAGATTAGGAATCTGTGTGCTTTAAAACAAAGCAAAATAAAACACAGGCCTTTTGATTGTCCTCCCAGGTGGGGCTTTGCACAGGTGCTTGTTGTCACTCTGGAAGAGCAAGAGGTTCCCAGCTGCCTGAGTCGCTTAGCTTCTAGGGTGAGGCCAAGCTTCCTGGCTTGAAAATCTTCCAGATCTGGGGCGAGCAGAAGTGACAGGCTAGGGGACCTGTTTCCCACCCTGCCAGGCCCCCAGTCTAGGGCCCTATCGTGGATGTGGATGGTGGCTGGCAACTGGGGAGACTGTATTCCTGGGTTTAACTGTGACGGTCTACCCAACGCATGTAACCCATGTCTGCATGCCATTATCATTTCTCAGATGCCTTCTTTGTGCCAAGCTTTGGGCTTTACTCGCATTATCTCATTTATCCTCAGGATCACCTGAGGGGTAGGTACAATGATCATCTCTACATTCAGAGAGGAACTGAGGCCTAGAGAGGCCACCCAGGTAGCAAGTGGTTGAGTAGGGGTTAGAACCCCATTAGTTAAATTCATAGCCTAGGTTCATAATGAGTGCTGAGTTTCTGTAAGACGGTACGAAAAATCATGACACTGTAAAGGCAACGTGGTGCAGTGGAAAGTGTACATATGCTGGGGAGCCCTAGTCCCGAGTTCCAACACTGGTTGCATCACTCGACATGTGTGGCCTTTAACAAGTCCTTCACTACATTGAAGCCTCTGCTTTCCTACCCGTCAAATAAGAGATTGTGATCAGTGGTCCCCATGGCCTCTAACATGGTGGGATGTTCTGAAGTCCAACAAAGACTTAAAAAAGGATGGAAGGGGTGGGTGCGGTCATGACTTTGAAGAGATGAGTTTTCTCACACGTTGTAATTGTTAAGAAAAATTATCCCAAAGTAGGAATACAGGCAACAAGATGACTATGTAACCTTTTTATGTCATACTAGAGCATTGTCCAAAAAAACCCACCTAGGAGTTGTCTGGTATTTTAGGGAATGGAATTATTTTCCTAACTCTCTAAGTTCAGTTGGACTTTTTATAAAAACAGCTGAAATAGTTTAGAAACAAAATGCAAATAGTTGAAGACCCTTCTCTCTCTCTCTCTCTCTTTAAAGTAAATGTCAATGTTCATGAGAAGAGAGGTTGGGCTTAGGAAGAGAGCATTCTAAAAAGAGGCAATTTGGGGTGTACAGATGAAGAGCAGGAAGGAGACTGGTCTGGGGGCCCAATGGGTAGAGGTGATGCCTGAGGGCTGCCTTATAGATTCTAATCTCCCTGTAACCTCCCTCTTGGTGGCACTCAATGGTGCTTTGGTGTTTGCATTCCTTGGCTCCCTCCCTTCAAAATCTGGGTATATGTGTATTTATTTTCATAATTAAAATGAACTAGAATTATTATTTTTTAAATCCTCACCTGAGGATATTGTTCCTTTTTTTCTTTTCCTTTCTTTCTTTCTTTCTTTGTTTCTTTCTTTCTTTCTTTCTTTCTTTTCTTTCTTTCTTCCTTTCTTTCTTTTTTTTTTTTTTTAAAGAGAATGGAAGGGAGGGAGGCAGAGAGAAAAACATCAATGTATCATTGGTGCCTCTGGCACGCACCCTGAGCCAACCGGCCAGGGCTGTTTTGAGAATTTGATAACACCTTTGAAATAATTGAAGGCATCCCAGGTTGTCACCGAGCCTGAAAGGAGAATGCTTGGATTAGGCATATGCTTGTGTGTGTGTTCGCACAGAATCAGTTGATTGACAGATCCCTCAATTTGTAAAATGAGGGCCTGTGTGAAACAGCTCCTCAAATCCCTTCTGAAATTAAACTTACCCTCTGTAGAATAAAATTATGACCTTAAAAAGACCAGTGCTCCCAACCTTAAACCAAACTACTGCTCCTTATGCATCTGGGAAATCCCACAGCCTGGCCCACCTACCGTAAGATATACTCTGTCTTTCATGTATTTATGGTAAAAAAATAAAATAAAATAAGGCGGGGTGGTAGTGTACAAAACCCGTCTCATTAGGGTGGCAGAGTAAATTGAAGTAATGCGTGCAAAGTGTTTACAGTGTCTGGAGCAGTGCATGTTAGCAGCAACAGTGAGAGCCCTGCAGGGTCCCTCCAGCTCGGAATTTCTATGAGCTCTGCTCACAAGTCCGGGAGCGCCCAGCCCCGATCGCCGGGGCCCTGAGCAGCCGCTCCGGCTGAGCTCCAAACGCTACGTGCCTTTTGGCAAGTTCCTTCCTCGCTCTGGCCCGGTGCCCCTCGGCCCCAGGAAGTTGTGGGGTGGTCTCTGCGGCTCGTCTCCGCTCGGTAGTTTGGGCTTTCAAGGGCCGCAGCCTCACTCCGGAGCCCGAGGCTTCCGGCGCCGGTAGTGCCGT